GGTAAATGTTCAAGAAGTACTGAAAACTTATGTGAATTTCTGGAACTTCATCTAGCTTTTCCTAATACGACTAATTATTACCAGTCCGTGCAAAGCTTAAATCATCTGAAAATGGAATTTTTAACAGGTGATGATCGACTCTATTGTCAAACATGCGCCAAACTGACTGTTATAAGGAAACAAGTATATCTGAGGCACCAGTCAATCTAATAATAACACTGATGATTTTCGACCACCACTCCTGTTTCATAGCTGTCGCCATGAAACAGAAGCTTCGTCCGGGGACGCAAGTCTTCTTGCGTTTGGTGTTTTTTGGTCTTTCAATCGTTTCTGTGTGTTCTTTGCTCCATTTTTGTACTGGAGGGTTCATGACAAATAGCACAAAACACTGGTATGATTTATGAAAATAAATTAGGATGTACCAAAGATGAGGAATGAATGTTTCCCCCCACCCCTTTGCATAGTTTCATGTGTGGTGAGAAGTTCTGTTTACCTAATTTGATATCCAATGGAATATTTAGGATATTGTTTTTGACCCAAATGATAAAGTTGATAGTCATGGTATTTCTAAGTATTTAAAATGAAATAATTGCTCAAGAAATTCTTTCATTAGTTCCATTCAATGTGCCAGCACGTAACACTGGACTTTGCTTTTCAATATCCCTTTCAACTTTCTTACTTCCAGAGCACATCTTGCTGTTTTACTTCAATTAGCTGACAAATTCAACTAATCGATGAACATAACAGTTGGGTTGAAACATTCGTAAGCTCACATGAGAAAAATTATGAAATTCGTTTTTTTCATTCAGTATGGTAGCCTTCTAGGGCGATAAAACGATTATAGCGATCATAATATTTTTTGATAGCATTTTTATAGTACGATTCATCCAGCGAGCATTCCCTTGAGATTTCTTGACAAAAAAAGTTATGGGACCAGATCTGGAGAAAACTATGGACGTGGAAGCAATTCGAAGTCCAATCAATGCAATTATGCCATCGTTATCATCGATTTTTGACACGGTGCATTGTCTTGATGAAACAGCATTTTTTCTTTAAATGGGACCGTTTTCCGTAATTTCCTACTTCAAAAGCTCCAATAACGGTATGTATTAGTCGCTATTGATGGTTTTTCCCTTTTCTAGGTAGTCGGGATGCGCCTGGTGTAATACCAGGCGCGTCCCAAAATACCAATGCCACAGCTATCGGACTTCAAGTCCGATAGCTGTGAAATTTGTACACGTGGCTTTTGAGAAGATTGAGTTTAATGAAATAATATATGAATTCACTACTGGTAGCGCCATCTGTGTGTTAGTCTACGAACTTTTCAGCCTATCTAATAGACTTCTCGCGAGTTTATTGGGGCCCACTGCAGTTTCAAGACTGTAGTTTTGAGAGTTTTATTTTAAAGTGTGTTCGTTTTGTTTTTGAGCTGATCGATATTATTAAGTCTGTAAGGCTTGTTTAAATGAATAAATAAGTAAATACATTCCTCTCATTTTTCTGAAGCGACAGTTTTCAAGGATTCCTTAAAGAGTGTTCTGACATCTTCCATTTTGAAAGTCGTGTTTCTTCTTCAACGAAACCATTTACGTGAGCCCAAACGAGTTGGATGGAATTGAGTTCGCAATAGAAGGGAGCAGACGCAGAATAATGAAATTTCATTTCTGTGCTACCTTGTCGATTACATATTCTGTGGAATGTGCTGCATTTGAACATACTACGGGCAAAATATCTCTTTTTCATCAAATGGAATGTTGTTTTGTTGAAGCCATCTAATGATACCAATACGATATTTTTTTTATGTAAAAATATCGTTGCATCCACCACAAGGGTTATTAGCAACATAGAAATATATATATACACATACATAACATTATCATATACAATTTGTTGAGTAAATCAATTTCAGAAAGGAATCCGAGTATGTTTGTGAAGTTACAGTTCACACCAAGAGCTGTCTTTATATTTGCACTAATATTGTACTTCAGTCGTTCATCCACGAACATCGGACACTCCACCATAAAATGTTTAAATTGTCACCCCACACGTGTAACAGAGTTTTTATTATTCACCTTTCAGTAAGTGTTCGTGAGTATACTTTGTATGTCCAGTACGCAAACGAGTCATTATGATTTGTTGTTTTCGTTGTTTGGGATGTCTTTCCATGGTTTGATGTCATCTTCAATTTCTTTCTTTGCGATATTGTCGACTCGTTCATTGCCAGAAATCCCGACATGTAACGGTACCCACATGAATTGTAGCCTTCTGGAAGCTTCCATAATTGAGAGAAATTAAAGAGTCTATTAAAATTAACGTTTTCTGGGCTTCTTCATCAACGGAAAATTTAATTGCTTGAATATTGAGATAGTTTGAAACCACTTAATGAAATCGGGCTCAAAAAGGCTGATGCTACTCCATAATTTGATTTGGAAGCATCTGTGTAGATATGTGTGTATTATTGATAGTTACTCAGTGATGAGTGGAAGTGATTGTAGAGCAGACTGAGAGTGATTTCAGATTTATTGAATTTGGTAAGGTATAACTTCAAATTCAAATTCAAATTTGTTAACAAATATACAATGAATGTCTATAAATATAAAAAAAAAATTAATTACATGTATAATATTTTAACACAGTCTGCTAAGTGTAAACACTTGTGTTTGAGTGGGTTAGTTGAAAAATAAAGATAATGTTAACTATTAATATATATTGTTCATGAAATAATATATAGAAAAGGAAAAATGTATCGATAATAGTATTTTATTATGAATGAGGGTGAAATGAATTATCTGTTGAACTGAACATTTTCAATTTTTTCACTATTATTTAATATACATGTGTAATGTTTTTTTAAATGCTGTTGTTCTCAACTTTTTGATTTCTCGTGGAATTATATGTATTGTGAATTGTATAACCAATACATATGCAGTGTTGTTGCAATAATTGTAGACTACACTTAGCAATTTGAAAGCATTTATTGGTCTTTGATCTTGTATCATACAGATGTTCTATTATGTAAGTATTTTTTTTATATAGATGGTACTGATTTTGTAAAATGTTTGTCTGATATTCAAAATGGAATATTTTCTGAATAAAACTTTCGATGGAAATCTGAAATTATTTTTATTGCATATTTATGAATAGATTTGACATATTTTAACGAATTTTCATATGCACCACCCCAGGCTATGATTCCGTAGGTCAAAATATTGAAAAATAATGCATGATAAAACATCAATAGTGTTTTTAGTTCAAATATATTTCTCAGAAGTCTGAACGTATAAAGACATTTTCTTAATTATTTTGTTAATTCAAGTGAATGTTTTTTCCACTTCAGGCTACAATCTATATAAATTCCTGAATATTTCATTTGTGTGGTTCTGTTTAATTTAAGAGTGCAATTGCATTTTTGAAAATGTTTCTGTGAACATTTCGAACTATGCATTTTTATTTCATCAAATTTTGGTTGATATTTTTCACTACATGAAAATGTCATGAATCAAGTGTTCGTGATATTGAGTGTGAGCAGGTCATAACTCAAGCTATGACATGCCAACTTCAGCCTTCGATATGGTCTCATCCCAGTTATCTCCATCCACTACATATACACTGTCATCTGCATACGAATATAGATCACCATCAAGATTTGTATTTAGTAAATCATTAATGTAAATCAAAAAAAAGGACAGGTCCTAAAACCATACCTTGAGGAACACCACACTTTGTTATTTTTTGATTACTCTTATATTCATTTATTTTCACGAACTGTTTTCTGTTTCTTAAGTAACTTATTCCGTATTGTGTTAGTTTCATGATGGCAGTGCAATGAGCCAAGGAGGGGTGTCTGAGGTTTTGTTGGAGAGTGTTATTGGGAAGGCAACGTTCAACTCGGAGCTGTAATTGTTAATTCTTTGATAAAAAGGATATGTTATTCTACTTCGGGTTTTATACAGATTTCGGAAGCGGTTTGAGAATGAATGCGAATGTTTACTCACCGTATACACACGACTATAAGAATTTTTTTGAGATTTGTTTTATCAAATCATACATTGAATGTTTCAGATGAATACTACATTTTTCACTTTTCATTCGACTGAATCATGAATATTACTGGAGTTTTTTTCCCACACTAAACCGTTATTTTAACACCTCGACACGTGTTTCGATCACCAATATTATCTTCAAGACGAAGATTAAACTAAATATACATAGAATGTTATCCTTATTCATACCTTATTTATAACTGGATTTATTTGGTCGAGTGTGAATAGTTGTAAGCTACGATGAACCCTTGCGGGTTGTGGTGGAGGTTCGAATAGACCCCACTCACTTTCAACCTAACCTAACCTATATAGGGGATATCTTTCTGTTAGGTTTACTTGATGATGCGAAATTTCGAAAGACTAATTTAGAACTAGATTATAATAAGACCTGAAAGCGTTGCAACCATTATCCAATATTGAATATAATTTTATTTCGGCATGACCCAATTACCATAAATGGATGGAACCCTCGTTCATCTTCGTTGCTCAAGTTTTTGCTACCACTTACTCAGGTGGTTCTTCTCTGGACAGATGAGTGCAAATGTTGCATTCATGATGCGGCCTAGTACAGCTGGTGATATCGGAGGCAGATCGAAAGAACGTTGTCAGGTGTTGAATCATTTATGCAACGCTTTGGGACCCTGATCTAAGTTCACGCTTGTAGTAACAGCTATAGACAAAATCATAAAGCAATTTCACAATTTGCCTTTTCATGTTGAACCTTGGTTTTGCATCGGATCGCCGTTGGGACTCTAGTTCTCATTGTCATATCCCAATTGCCGATAGCCAAACACAGTTTTAAAGTGGTTGCGGGGAGGAAGGGGTAGGTGATATTTTGGTATCTAATATTTTGGCACGGAAACAGATTTATCCATTTCTTGATATCTTTTTGTACTCATGAGGAATTAACACCAGGAAATCTTAAATTCCACTCGTGATATATTGACTGTTACTCACCACATCTATTATCTGCATCAAAGTCAAACCAAAACTCAACTGAAGAGGATCAGATTCGTTAGCAACAGGACGTTCTAGTACGTTATAGTGATCTAGAAGCTTATGTAGGAGCTTTTTCTCGTTGATTCCAGCCCAAGATTCTGTAACGAAAGTGTAAAAAATCAGATTCATTCTAATCAGTTGAATTTGTAAACGCTACATTGAATAAAGGTTTGCTTATACAGATTGTAATTGAAGTTGTGGAACATGCTTCAGCGCCAAGCAGATAAACTGTGATGTTTAGTGATGTTTCATATTCCATATTCTCATGAAAACGCTTAAAAGACGATCAATCAATCTTGCGAAAGTACTTAAAATTATGTAAAAGATTATTTGTCCATCTATTTATTCATTCATTTTCCTTTGTTGACCATTCACAGGGTTTAGAAGTCGTCAAAATAATAATATGTCCTAAATCTACATATTGGAAGTCAAAACTGACTTAAAACTAAAATAGAACCATTTTTCAAGAAAAAAAATAAACCATACGATATGGACATCCATTTATCATATGCTGCATGAATCACTGAAATCGGTATTTACATACACAACAAAATAAAAATAATATATTTGAGGGCGTGTCGGGCAAGTTACAATCTGAATCCACGAAGAATCGAAGACATTCATGATGGATTAGCGACATCCGACACTGCCGACGAAGATGATACTCTTGAACTTGCATTTGTAAACTCGTGTGAAATTTTATTTTTATATTCAGTCTAACTTGGATACCTCCTACTTGTAACACTAGTTTTTTGGATATTATGAAATCTTTAAAAAACGAAAACCAACCCTCAACTGGTGCAGTCGGTAGGATTCGCGAAAGAGTGTAAAAATTCCTCGTCATTTTTAAACGGTTTTTAGCGATCCGAAATGAACGATTTCTCAACAGCAGCATCACGACTACCCTCCAAAGAACAAAAAAGAAAAGCTGATGGAAATGCATCAAGTCATCAGCATTTTTTCGTGAGTATTGATGTCAGATTACATAGACAGACATAGTTAAAACCACGAGTGATTTTAATTATTGGTATCAAGTCCCAATACATTACAGTTATCTATGATAATACCCAGGAATTTGGTGCTTAATTTATTCTCAATAAAACTTTCATTGATAGTGATAGGAAAGTCATCAATAGAACCCTGAAAAGATATCAAATTAGTTCTGTTGATATTTGAAGATAAGAGATTAGCATCGCACCAGTCCTTGATGATCCAGATATCTAATGATAACCTTGTGGAGGTCTGAGGCATTTTTACTGTTCCACAGTATTGTGGTATTATCTGCGAATAACGTGAACTTTCCCTTTACATTTAACAATGTCAAATCATTTATATACAAAAGGAAGATGAAGGGACCAAGAATAGACCCCTGAGTGATTCCACTGTTTATACTAGCTACAGTTGATAATGAATAAGGCATTTTAACTATTTGGATTCTATCGGTGAGATAAAATTCAAACCACTCATGAGTTATTCCATCAATGCCATAATGATACAATTTTCTGAACAGTATTTCATGATTTACACAATCGAATGCTTTGGATGAATCACAAAACACTACTGCAGCTAAATTACGATTGTTAATATTGTTATGAACTTCGTTCAGAAGGAACAATATGGCGTCATTAGAACACTTTTTCGGTTGGAATCCAAATTGTTTGCAATTTATTGTGTTATGTGACATTAAAAAACATTTCAAACGATACACCGGAGTTGCCGATTGGGACAGTCAGAGACGTCTGCAGTCGCTGAACATGCATTGTGCGACAGGGAACACAAGATCCTTTTCGGAAATTCCAAGAGGCTAGCAACGTCAAATCTGTATTCAACAAGAATGTATTCAGGAGCCAATACACAAACACAAAGAGAACTTCAACAGAAAGGAAGAAAGAACATATCTACCAAAGATCTGGTAAATAGTTTTGAAAGGCGCCAAAACGAAGCCAAATTATTCAAATCGCGCGGGAAGTACGCGCGAACCCGCTATTACAGAAACTGTGCGAAAAATCAGCACTATAAATGACACAGCAGAAATTGTAACAATACCATTTTGTTCCACATGGTATAATCATTCGTAAACGTCAGAATAACAATTTTCAAGCACCCGTAGGTCCCTCTCTCCTTTTCGTTTGTAAACTGGTGGGCCGTGAGATTACAGATTTGAACTATTGTTGTTTACTTTCATTAAATTAATAGACAGTACCTTTCCAATTGTTATTGAAGTACTTTCAATGTAGATGGAGTGTGATGTACCACCCTGCTCCAATCTNCTTTCATCTTTTCTGATGATGAGACGGCGGTTAAGACGGCTTTAGATGAGTTGACAGTACTCTTAACGAATTTTGATGGACAAAGAAATAGTGGCGAAGGACTAAAATTTCAAACGAAACTTTCCTATGTATTGGGACGGATTGATAGGATGGAACCAAAGGACTGTACAGAAAAGACTACTAAGGCGGATCTTGTGGCACAAGCTTTGATTCTCATGGATGAATTCAACCAGAAAATTCACAATGCACAGCAAGCCTCTAGGACAGTTCCCTCCGGACTTTCGCAACTACAAAATAGAATCATCAATCAGGCTCTCAATGCAAATATTCAACCGGTAGCCCACTCGTCTTTGGCTGCCGTAACCTTTCCGAATCAGGTCGCTTCAGATGGAAAAATGATTCCACCATACAAGTGGAACATAAAGAAATTTACTGCAAGCCACGTCCATAGCTTTCTTTTTGAAAAACGAGTGATATTATGACGCTTATTATTGTTTTTTGAAGTGGGGTAGACCTGGTAAACGGCTTATTTTCGTAGTTTTCTGTTTTGAACAAAATAGACAGTTAATAAAACGGCAACACAGTTATTCTCACAGTTCTGGAGTATAAATTTTGTTACATTTATTTTTCGACATTCCACCTATTGATTCACATTATACGGTCTATTCATTTAGAATATCATTTTCCTTCAGATAATTTGTATTTCCCCTGCTACAAATATATCGTGTAGGATACGTTACTGTTATAATCAATTTAAATGAATACCTGTTCCCGGTCATGAAAGGAAATGCCTATAGACCATTTCGTGGATCGGGGTAATAAATCTGAAATATATGCAATTACATGCTGAACGTACTCATTGTCTAAAGCTACAATTGTGTTCGTACGAATCATGGTTTTCATTTATGACGTCATTTGGAGATTTAGGGTGGTTGTAAACCGTTATAGAATCACAGTGAATGTTCAGAGGCGAAAAAAAAGGTAATTTTCGTTTTATCATCAATTCGTCTAAATGTACATATGATTTGTTCACCGTCTTATGTTGAGTTCATTTGGATTGAGATATGCAATTATTTAAATCATTATCAAAATAATAAGTGTGTCGGTCCTGCAAATGAGCTTGGTTTGGTTAAAAATTTGATCTTTTGTTATTTTTTCTGAAGTTTATTAATATGTGGTACAAACAGTCAAGATGTTTTCAGAGCAGAAATAAGTGTTTGAATTCGAGGTTGAAAATTGATATTCTCAAGTCGAGTTGTATCTCAGGAGAAAAAACCTGAAAAATATAGATTAGGAATATCATACCTTCAATAACACTGAAAATCTCTGAGAAATATTTTAAAAAGTTCGTCACTATTTCCTAAATTGAACTGAACCTCCAATATCATGATTTTTCTCTTCAATGAATTGAATAAAATCTTTTTCTCTTCATTCGAATTGGGATGTGGAATCAAAATTGTGACAAGCATTGGAGTGCTGGTCCTGGAAATAATACTCGTTTGGTTGATCGGTACATCCACTGAAGTCTATTAATACAAAAAGTCAAGATAGTTTCAGGAAAGTAATAAAGAGTCAGAGTTCAAAACAAAAACTTTCTCTACTACATCCAACTCGATTTTTATGTCGAGCACAATAGTAAAGTACTCTTAATAAACAGCGAATAAACAAGAAACTAAACTGTACAATTCCTTATCAGGTGATTTGAGTTAAAATATATGATATTGAGACACTTGTGATATATTTTCATAACGTTGATTTCAGAGTTGAGTGACAGAAAAAGTTGACTTATCAGACAAGCTCAATAGGACTCGATAATATTAGGTATCACCCGGGCAAATACTATCGAGTACGCCAGTGTGAAACGTAAGAAATACTATTTCACCAAGAGTACTTCAAAATTGTAGGTTATGATGAATCAACTGAAAAATAGTAAACTGTTTGAAAAATTGTAAATCAGTATGTTTAGCGTAGGCAATAAAATGCCTGTTATATGTTGTTTGTTGACCTTCTCCATTCATAATCAAGGTGAAATGGATAAACAAGATCAATGTCAATGCTGACTTATGCTTAATCGACATCCAGCAATATGCAGTTCTTGAACAACGATACAAAGGCCCGTCTGATATATACAATTCTCGTGTCATACTCCTCGGAAACGGCATAACCGAATTTCATGAAATTTCATATGTTTATTCGGTAGATCTGAGAATAGCTTCCAATTTTTCATATCCCTAAATGATAAAGGTGTTCCAAACCAACTTTTTTTAAAATTTTTTGGACAAAATTCTTTTTTTTTAATTCTTATGATATGGCATTTGAAATACATATAACCCTCAATTTTCACCCTTCTATCACTTACCCCTATTTTTTAATAGCTATTTCAGAATTTTAATCATTTTGATCAGTTATTCCCACCAGGCGTCTGCCGGGGTCACTTCTCACTCAGTAAAAAGCACGGAGTAGGGATGAGAACGGAGCTGGTCTCTTGTCTCTCTTACACATCAAGCTTTCTCCGACTGCCTATACTGTTCTTGACCACTATGATTGTTCATCCATCGAGCGTAGATACAGTTTGCGATGCCACAGATTTTTTGAACTCATTAAATCTGCTAGGCATGTTTTCTAACAGGTCTAATCACAGGCCACAAAGTCTGAAAGATCATATGCGGAGTCTTGCACTGTTGTCTCTGTTTGGGAAATGATGGAATAGCACAGCACATACTTTGTTCTTGCCTCGATACATTGGCAAAGTTTCACTCTCTTCACCCTTCACCCCGAACTGAAAGATCACTCACCAGATAAACTACTCGGCTTCGTCAAGAAACTGT